CTGCACCCTGGGATCTGAGGCTGGAAGCATCCTCATCCAGCCCACCTCCCTCCTACCCATCGCAGAACCCCTCTGTGACACATGCCCAGTGGTGGGGAGCTTGCTACTGGTGAGGTGGCTTTTCAGTGCCTTGCAGCTCTTGTTTTCTTTAGCTAAAATCTATGGCTTGCAGATTCTACACCTTGGTTCCACCTCTGTCTCCCGGAGCCATGCAGAGCACGTCCATTCTTTCATTCATTCCGGCAATCATCATTCATGCACTGGATGAGACACAAGACAGAGCAATAGGAAAATCAGACAAAACTCCCTGCCCTCATGGAGTGCACATTCTAGAAAGGAATGGACAGCAATGAAACAAGTAAATACACGGCATGGCAGGTGGTGGGAAGTGCTATGAGTAAAACAAAACTGGGAAGCAGGATGGGGTGCTGGGGCTGGGTATTGCATTGTATATAGCACAGCCAGGGAAGGCTTCCCCAAGACCAGGAGAGCTGGGCAAAGTCATAAGGAGTTGAGGGGTGAGTCACGTGAGTATCTGGGGGGCTGGGAGGCTTTGGTTTTCACTCTGAGCATGATGGGAGCACTGGTTTGGAACAGAGGAGTCCCCTGCTCTGACTTGGGGTCTGGCAGGCCCACCTCGCTGTGGGGTGGAGAATGGGTCGTGGGGAGTGGGGTAAGGGCAGAAGGAGAGCCTGGTGAGAGGATCATTGCTGTCATTCTGGGGAGAGACCATGGTGGCTTGCACCATGGCCCAGAGGTAGTTAAAATAATAATTTAAAAAACAAGACATTCAGATTTGGGATATATTTCAAAGGCTGTGTCGATAGGATTTGGGGTGTAAGAGAATGGTAGAGTCAAATATGATTCTGAGGTTTTGGCTCGAGCTTCTGGAGGTTTGAAGCTGCCATGAACTGAAATGGGAGTTGCTTGGGGGAGATTGAGAGTTTGGTTTTGTGCTTGTGGAGTCTGAGCTGTCCATTAGGCATCAATGATGAGTAAGCAGTTGGGAAAAGTTAAGGGCGGAGGTTGGAGTTGGAAATAAAACTTTGGGCATTATCACCGTATAGCTGGTGTTTAAAGCCACAAGAGCAGGTGGTCTCATCTAAGGAGGGAGTGATATGGAGAAGAGAAGGGGTCCAACTACTGAGCGCTGAGGCCCCCAGTGTTAGGAACCAGCCAAGAAGACAGAAAGAGTGAAAATCAGAGAGTTGGGGTGCCCTGGAGGAAATGAGGAAAATGCCCCAAAGAGGAAGGAGGGAACAAATATGACCAATGCCCCTGGCAGAGCAAGCAGGCTGAGGGCTGAGGATTGAGCAACGGGAGGTCACTGGTGACAGTTTCACTGGAGCTGGATGGGGAACTTGAGGGTGAGGGAGGGGATGGGAGGACTTGGGGACAGCAGTACAGGCAACAGACAAGGGGGTCTGCTATAAAGGGGAGCAGATAAATGGGATTGGAGCCAAATGAAGAAGGTGGGTGTCAAGAGAGGGCTTTACTTTTACAATGGAGAATATAGTGCATTGTGCACTGGTGGGGGGAATTGGTCTCTTAGGAAGAGAAGTTCAGTGCCGGGGAGGGAGAATGCAGGATGGCTGGGGAAGGGTGGGGGCGCTTGGCCCCAGCAGAGACCCGGGATACTTGGGAAGTTGAGCTTCCCTGGGCTTCCCTTCCTCTCCTGTCTGCAAGGGGTCAGTGGGCTGAGATTTCAGCACTTAAGCAAAGCATTTGCTCTTGGCCCCAGAGAAACCAGGTTGGCTGTGGTCTCAGGAAGGAAGGAGCTGTCCAGGCTCAGGCCTGGGTCTGGGTTTCAGGGAGGGCCCTTGTGGGTCGCTCCCTGACCCTCTCTTTCAGCAAGGAAGTGCTCCTTTCTCTACATGGGCCTCACTTTGGGGAGGACAATGGTGTCTTTGAAGTTGTAGTAACTGAAGTAGAGATCAAAAGGCAATGCAGATAGACTAATAGATTTTGCCTGAAGAAGGGAAGCCCGATCAGGTAATAAAGGGGTAAGAGGAAGGATGTGAAGGACAATTTTTAGGAAACAGATAATGAGTGAATATTTTTTCTGTCTCTTTCCCAAGTTAAACTGAAGCAGGAGAAACTGAAGCTAGACATAATGAATAAATTCCCAAGCTGGTGAGCTTCCTGAGCTGGTTAGTGAGGACAGCACTAAGGCCAGGCCCTCCTCTCCGGATGTTTAATATGAGACAGGACAATGCGTGCTCAGAGACGGGGGACTGGCTGAATTGGCCCTCAGGATTCTCTTTGCTCTGAGGTTTCTGGAAGAAGGCCAGGGCAGAGGTGCGGTGATGCAGCTGCTGGGAGGACAGAGCTCCGAGTCACGTGACTTGGGCGGCCCTCCCCTTCCTGGTGCCCACAGAAGCCCGACGTCACTAGCCGGGCTACGTGTATGGCTCACACGTAGGCCAGGCTGCCCTAGGCTTGGTGTGCTAGGGAGGGGCCCCTACTTACTTGTGGCCTGTCCCCTCGTGAATGTGTCTCATGTCCCCAGTGGGGTTTTTCAGGGAGGGTCATGGTCTCCAGGATGCACAAGGCTTTGTGCCAGAATTGCCTGGAATTACCTAGTTCTGGAAGGCTGGTTGGCCAACTCTGGCCTCTGGCTTTTCCTTTGGGAATTTCCCTTGAAGGTGAGGTTGGTAGACAGATCCAGGCTCACCAGTCCTGTGCCACTGGGCTTTTGGTGTTCTGCACAAGGCCCACCCACAGATGCCATGCCTGCTCCCCCAGCCTAATGGGCTTTGATGGGGGAAGAGGGGGTGGTCCAGTCTCTCCCGATGAGGAGGAAAGAGCAAGTGTCCTCCTCGGACATTTTCTGGGTAAGAGGAGCAGGCATTGTCCTGTCTCAGCTTGACTCTCAGCCTTCTTTCATCCCTGGCTGCGCGCATGCTCCCAGGCCTGGGGTGAGATGGGGAGTGCTGACCCTGTCTCTGGGCTGTTTTCTGGGGAGAGTGGGTGGGTGGTTATTTTCCCCAGGACCCTGGCAGGGGTGATGGTGGGGGCTGCTGTCGCGTCCTTGGCTGATGTTTCCACAGCTGAGAACCACTCCAGGGCCAAGCCCAGAGCTTATTCTACCCCCTTTTGGTCCTCTCTTCCCCCGTCCCCCGGCACCCCACCCTCTTGGCTCCTCTGCTTAGAGGTGAGCACGGGGAGGAGACCTCCTTGGCCTGAGAGAACTACCTTAGTTCCTAGATTCCAGTGGCCTGTGCAGGGGGGGACACTCTCTCTCCCAAGCAGCCAGACACACAAATAACCTCATTGCCTCCGTTTCCCCATCTGACCAGCACAGGGCCTCCTGTGCCCCAGCAGCATTCTGAGAGATTGGAGGTTTTTCCTTTTGCTTACCCTGGCTGCCGTATGAGGATGGTTACAGTGTTCCTCCCACCCCCAGCCCAGGGGATATTTGATTCATGAACATTTCCACAGTGTCTCTGCGGGGGACAGTGCCGTGCCAGGCTCAGGGACGCTAGGACGAGTAAGACCCAGGCTTCCACGTGACCCAGGCAGGGAGAGAGACACATAAACAACCATCAGCAAAGAGGCAAAATCCCCAGGCCGCTTGGCATCTACTCCCTCGAGTGGCTGGGAATGTCCCTGATTTATAAAAAGAAGCCGATGGCTCTCTTTGTTGTCCATGCCTACACCCTTTCACTTTCGTTTCTTCGAGGCACTGCACCAGCTCTTGTCCACGGACCCCACGACAGTCGCAGAACTGACCATGCTGAGAGATTTTCTCAGCTGCTCAGAGATCCTCCCAGGGCTTGAAGCTCCTGAAGGGTTACTTGCCCTCAAATTCCCAGAACCCACAGCAGGTGGCTAACGATAGCAGCAGCAGCAGTCTGTGCACGGTGGTTTCGAGGGCGTGGGAGGGAGGTGAGGGCCCTAGGGCAAGTGTGTGAGGGAAGTGTTGATGGGGGACAAGGCACGAGAACGCTTGGAAACAACTTAGTTTGCACCGTAATTTTTCACTTAGCCTAGGATAGGACCTTTAGAATAATACTCTGAGTGTACCCCTTGGAGTAGCAGTGTGCAAAACACACAGCACGGGCTTGGGGCCCCCGTGGGGAACCCAAATGTAAGAGTTAGAGACATGCATTCTGGAGTTGCACACGGCTTGTGTTGAAATCCTGACTCTGCCTGTCTAGCTGTGACATGTCGTACAAATCGCTGAGCCTCTCGGTGCCTCAGTGTCTTCCTCTGTAAAATGGGCAGATCATAGGCACTACTTCAGAGTGGCTGGGAGGGTTCAGTGAATTCACGCAGGAGAGCACTTAGAATGGCACCTGGTGTGTTGTTTATGCTTAATTAATATTAGCCATTACTGAAACTGCTGTAGCGTGAATCCAGCCAGTGTGAAGGAGCCCCTCTCACCCTGCTTTGAAGAGAATGAATTCCCTGACTGCTTGGAAGATCTCTCTTTCTCTCTCTCTACTTTTTACATTTTTATTATTATTTTTTTGAGACAGGGTCTTGCTCTGTTGCCCAGGCTGGAGTGCAGCCTGCAACCTCTGCCTCCCGGGTTCAAGTGATTCTCCTACCTCAGCCTCCTGAGTAGCTGGGATTACAGGTGCCCACACCATGCCTGGCTAATTTTTGTATTTTTAGTAGAGAAAGGGTTTTACCGTGTTGGCCAGGCTGGTTTAGAACTCCTGATCTCAAGTGACCTTGGGAGATCTCTTGCTCCTCATATTACCTCTAGCCTTTTTAAACATTTTAAGCTGGAGACCAAGCATGGATGTGGGAGTTAGGGGTCTTGGTTTAATTCCTGGTTGCTTCAAACTCTCTGTGGGACCTTGAGGTGTTTCTTGCCTTCTCTGGGTCTCAATTTTCACATCTGTATGGTGGGGAGCTTGGACTGGGTAATGTCTGAGGCTAGAACCATGGTCAACTCGGGTTCTTCTGGGGCTGACTTGCCCTGGCCTTCCCCAGCCACCCCGCGTCTGGCTTCTGGAGAAGTCCTGCACTGACCTTGTTCTCCTCCCCAGGTTGTGAAATGTGCTCGCAGGAGGCTTTTCAGGCACAGAGGAGTCAGCTGGTGGAGCTGCTGATCTCAGGGTCCCTGGAGGGCTTCGAGAGTGTCCTGGACTGGCTGCTGTCCTGGGAGGTCCTCTCCTGGGAAGACTACGAGGGCATCCACCTCCTGGGCCAGCCTCTCTCCCACTTGGCCAGGCGCCTCCTGGACACCATCTGGAATAAGGGTACTTGGGCCTGTCAGAAACTCGTCGCCGCTGCCCAGGAAGCCCAGGCCGACAGCCAATCCCCGAAGCTGCATGGCTGCTGGGACCCCCACTCGTTCCACCCAGCCCGAGACCTGCAGAGTCACCGGCCAGCCATTGTCAGGAGGCTCCACAGCCATGTGGAAGGCGTGCTGGACCTGGCACGAGAGCGGGGTTTCGTCAGCCAGTACGAATGTGACGAAATCAGGCTGCCAATCTTCACACCATCCCAGAGGGTGAGGCACTCCTGCATGCATCACAGAGTTCCCAGGAAAGGGGTGCTTAGTCACCAAGACTGATTTGTCCTCATGAAGTCAGCCTGTGGGGTAACTTGGTCTGTGGGGTTTCCCCTAAAAAGGTAGCCAGGCAGGTGAAATTTGCTCTTGACTCTTGGCAGGCAACATACAACTTTCTTTCCTTCTTTCTTTTTCCCTCCCCTCCCCTCTCCTCCCCTCCCCTCCCCTCTCCTCCCTTCCCCTTCTCGCTCCTCCCCTCCCCTCCCCTCTCCTCCCCTCCCCTCCTCTTCCTTCCCTTCCCTTCTTTTCCTTTTTGAAGTCTCACTCTGTTACCCAGGCTAGAATGCAGTGGCACAATCATAGCTCACTGTAGCCTTGAATTCCTGCACTCATGATCTTCTGGTCTCTGAGTAGCTGGGACTATGGGTGCTGTACCACCACGCACAGCTTTTTTTTTTTTTTTTCTTTTAGAGATGGGCTGTTGCTATGTTGCCCAGGCTGGTCTCCAGCTCCTGGTTTTAAGCAATCCTCCCGCCTTGGCCTCCCAAGCGGTTGGGATTGCAGGCATGAACCGCTTTGCCTGGCCAACATACCACTTCTGCTGAGAGGAAGTGTGTGGTGGCCAGGGGCTCAGATTCTGAAGCCAGAATGGTGCAGGCTCAAGGTCAACCCTGTGTGATCTCAGGCTTCCCTATGGAGCCTCTCCAGCCTCAGTCTCTCTTGTTTCAGTTTCCTCATCTATAAAACAATGGTAATAGTCAAATGGTGCCTATCGTATAAGGCTCTTGGGAGGATTCAGTGAGTTAAATTGAGTAATGCTTAGGATAGTGTCTATTACCACTGGCTGCTATTGATTATTTCTGTTATGAGAGATACTCTGTACTTGTACACTTTTGTTTCTGTCTGTTTTAAATTAACAGCACAACAGATCATAACATTGTAGTATATTAAATCTCTATTTTATAATTAACGTGGCATATTATATACTAATATAGCTTAAATGTTTATGTAGGATTTCTGATATGAAATTGCATTAGATCATAGATGTTCAGAGTTGGGATATAACTGCCCCAAGAAGGTAATGACTCAACAGAGACCAGAAGGTCTGAGAAATGACCACTGAATATTTTTGAAACTCTTTTGTTTTCTTCCAAAGAGTGATTCTTAGGGCTCCTGAGAGGCAGACGGAACACTCACTAACATTCCACTTTATAAATCAGGAAACTGAGACCAAGTAAAGTAGTTTGAATAAGCTCACAATAGTTAATGAGAGGGCCAATGCTGGACCAGCTGGCCAACATTGGTCATTGGCTTATTCATCCATCATTCATTTATTCATTCATTTATTCAGCCAGAATCTACTAGGTGCTTCATACATATTTGCTTAAAGTTTGTTGTCTTCATAGAGCTTTGCACATAGTAGGTACTCCATAAATATTTGTGGATGAAATAAATGAGTTATTGAATGAATGATTGAATTAGAATGACACTGCAGTATTAAATTGGGCTGGATTGGGGAACATTTTAGTTTTTATTTTTGTCTGTTTTCCAAAAATGTATGTGGTGTTCATGTGAGTCTGGGTAACCCTAGGTTGAGACTGATGAAATAAACGAATTTGTCTTCAAGGCTGCACTAAAGCTGGCTCACATGGCTAGGTATTTACAGAGCGACGTGGTGCAGTCCTCTCTGATTAGTTACACGTACAGAAGATATATTCATTATTGGACTGACCTTAGTTTCTCTTATAATTTATTAGGGGAATTGAATCAACCCGTCTGAGAAGTTACAAGATTGTGTCTTGTCATCTTTAAAAGTTCAGCCATGTGGTCTGGTACAGATGGTCTGAGGGGTTTGGAGAAGGTAGCCTAGATCCCTAGGGCCCAGAGAAGACAGGATATGAGCAGAGGAAGTACCTCCGAATTGGTGAAGAAAAGAAATGGGATAACTCATGGGTGAAAGAAGAAATCGTGATGGAAGTCAGAAAATATTCAGAACCAAAAAATAATGAGAATATTATTTATCAAAATCTATCAGATACAGCTACAGCAGAACATAGGGGGAAATTTACAACCTTAGATGCCTAGATTAGGAAAGAAGAAAGGCATTTATTTATTTATTTGAGATGGAGATCTCACTGTGTCATCCAGGCTGCTGGAGTGCAGTGGCACAATCATAAATCACTGAAGTCTCGAACTTCTGGGCTGAAGTGATCCTCCCGCCTCAGCCTTCCAAGCAGGTGGGACACAGGCTGGCACCACCATACTAGGCTAAATTTTTTTTTTTTTTTTGGTAGATACGGGGTCTTGCTATGTTGCCCAGACTGGTCTCAAACTCCTGGGCTCAAGTAACCCTCCTCCCTCGGCTTCCCAAAGTGCTGGGATTACAGGCATGAGCCACAGTGCCCATCTAAGGCTGGATTTTAATGAGCTAAGAATTCATCTTAAGAAAGGGCTAAATAGACACCAAAAGCAAACATTGAAGGCTGGGACTGAGCTGAGTGAGTAGCAGGGATAGGGGGCAACAGATCTGAGGATACTAGGAGATTTTGAAGGGATTGCATTGTCTGAGGTTTAAGCCTTTAGAATCCAGCTCTCTCTGAGCCCCCTTTGAGCTCTGACATTCTGTGACTCTGATTTGGTAGCCTTCCCTTAGTGGCCTTTCTGATTTTATCTGGATAGTGCTTGTGGTATATCCAACCAACATGTCTTCCCAAATGGCCTTTTAATTTCCTATGAAGAAGTAGTTGTCATTGATTGCAGGTTAGGGACAGAAAATGCTGTGGAATGAAACAAAATGCAAGTTAAAGAACTAAATTCCAAAAATAGCCATTGCTACTACTGACTGAGTGAATGCCTACTGTGTGCCAGGCACTGTACCCAGTCCATTCCCTGTATTGTTTTATTTAAGCCCCACAAGGGTGTAGTGTGACTACACTGTTTTTTAACAATGAAGAAACTGCCCAAATCGCCCATCTGGGAAGTGGCCCAGCTAGAATTTGAATCCAGGCCTGTTTTCCTCCAGAGCTTGTGCTATTCTCTGTCTGTCATAAAATGTGGGGGCTTTGTGTGGTAAACTTGCTCAGTTGGGCATAGCAGTTGTTAGGAAACCTGAGGCTGGTAACACCAGCTGTAATACCAGCTGTCCGTCTGACTCATGCAACTGTTAAAGTTGATAGGGCTGAGGTGTCAGACTGAGCTCTGAATTGCCTGATTCCTATAACAATATTAACTTAAACATTTTTAAATTGGGAAATGCACCATGCATACAGAAAAGTGTGTATATTTCATATGTATGGTGTAAACTGCTCCCATCACCCAGGTTAAAAAACAGGACATTGTCAGTAGCTGGGGCCTTCTTTAATTGCAACTACTTGAGGTAAACACTGGTAAAAATGCAACTACTAGAGGTAAACACTGGTAAAAATGCAACTACTAGAGGTAAACACTGGTAAAAAAAAATGATTTGTGTAAATCATTTCTTTGCTTTCTTTAATGTTTTAGCATCGTTTAAAATAAATCCCCAAACAATGTATTGTTCTATTTTGAAAAACTGAGTAGCAAGCCAAAAATAACTGTGTAAAGAAAGGTCACTTAAAATAGGCTGGGTGTGGTGGCTCATGCCTTTAATCCAGTACTATGGGAAGTCGAGGGAGGCAGATCATGAGATCAGGAGATCAAGACTATCCTGGCCAACATGGAGAAACCCCATCTCTACTAAAAATACAAAAAAGTAGGCAGGCATGGAGGCATGTACCTGAAGTCCCAGCTACTCAGGAGGCTGAGGCAGGAGAATCACTTGAACCTAGGAGGCAGAGGTTGCAGTGAGCCGAGATCACACCACTGCACTCTAGCCTGGGCGACAGAGCAAGACTCTGTCTCAAAAAAAGAAAGGAAAGGTCACTATTACCTTTTCTTAGATGAAGGTTCCCAAGGCAGGGAAAGCTAAGTGGAGTCCCAGGGACTTGGTCTGGCTTTGCCTTCCCTGGGAATTTATAAGGACCTCTTCTGGGAAGTCAGTAGGCAATGTCATGAATGAGTCTGGGGAAATATTGGGCTCATTGCAACTGGAGGGTCTGGTACGGCTGATGTGAATTAGGTGCTGTCCAGAGGAAAATGTCCAGAGGTAGCAGGCTGCTTTGTACAGTCAGTGGTAAACTTGCCAAAGGCTATTCTAGTCTAGGAATAGGCCAAGGCTAAGCACTTCTGTGGAGTAAAATGAATGTCCTCAGCTGACTGAGGCAGCAGGAGTCAAAAAGAAATGATATTAGTTCATGGTGAAGAAACAGTCAAACATAGAAAAAGGTTAGGGTCAGGCTTGCCTGGACATCTAGGAGATAACTGCCCTCAACAAGTCTGAGTCTTGAGTCACTACTCCATTCTGTCTGAACTGGTGGCCGTCTACTTATAGTATACAGCCGTCAACCTGAGATTTCCCTACATGGTCTTCCTGAGTTGGTCTCCTATATCCTGAATCCTGTGGCCTCTTCTTTCCTGGTTTACTCCATTTTGCTAGACCATATCCTCCAGTCAATTCCTTATAATAAAAGTATGAAAGTTAAAATTTCTGAGCTCTTACATTTCTAAAAGTTCCTTCATACTGGATTGATAGTTTAGCTGGGTATAAAAATTCTGGGCTGGCCATAATTTTCCTTCAGAATTTTGATTGCATTATTCCATTATCATCTCTTTTCAATATTGCTTCTAAGAATTCCAAAACCATTTTTTTTTTTTTCTTTTTGAGACAGGGTCTCACTCTGTTACATAGGCTGGAGTGCAGTAGTGTCATCTTGGCTCATTGCAATCTCCACCTCCTGGGGTTAAGCAATTCTTCTTCCTCAGCCTCCTGAGTAGCAGGGATTATAGGCACTCATCACCACACCCAGCTAATTTTTATATTTTTAGTAGAGATGGGGTTCTGCTATGTTGACCAGACTGGTCTTGAACTCCTAACCTCAGGTGATCTGCCCATTTTGGCCTCCCAAAGTGCTGGGATTAAAGGCGTGAGCCACCACACCCAGCCTCCAAAACCATTTTAAAACTCTTTCTGGAAGCTTGTAAAATTTTCTTTTAGTCCCCAGCATTTTAAAATTTCAATGATGTGCCTTGATGTTGTTCCATTGTGTTGGTCACCCAAGAGGTACTTTGAATCTGGAAACTTCTGTCTTTATGTTTTGGGAAATGTTCTTGATTAGTTTATAGGTGATTTCTTCCTCTCCATTTTATCTCTTCTCTTTTTATGAAACTACTATTACTTCAATGTTAGAACTCCTTGACCGATCATTTAATTTTCTTCTATTTTCCATCTCTGTGTCTTTTTGATCTACTTTTCTATGATAGTCACAACTCTATCTTTAAACTCTTGAATTTTTCATTTTTGATGTCATGATTTTAGTTTGCAAGAGGTAGGTTTGACTGTTTCTTTTTTGTAGTATCTTACTCTTGTTTTATGGATGCAACATCTTCTTTGACTTAAGGATCATAAGATAGGTGGGTTCTTTGTTTGTTTGTTTGACTGTTTTTCACCCTATGTAAACCTTTTCTACAAGTAGTTTTCCCCTTCCTCCCTTGTTTGGCTTCTATCTCCCACATTAGATGCTTTCTCTGAGCTCATGATACTCCTTGGTTTTCTTTCTCAAGACTAACAGGTAGGACTTTAAAACTTGTTGAGCACGTGGGTGAAACTTGTCTACCATGAATTTCACTGTAGACATTTTGGGAAATGACAGTGTTTATATCTTTAGATCTTGCCTCCTGGGTTAATCAAGTTGTCTGAGTAGACCACAGACTTTTGCCTGGGGATAAACCAGAAATGTGTTTCAGAAAACACTTTGATTCAGTCCTCCTTGTTTTAGTCATTTCCTTCAGTTCCGGAGGTCCCTCATGCTGATCATTCCAGAGCCCTTTACAGATTCTAGGATACACACTGCATGGTTTTCAACTTTCTCATTTTGACATTAAGATTTGACTTTCAGGAGTCTCCCCAGTCCATTACCACGTATTCATTCAGCAAGTCCTTGAGCACCCGATTTGTGCCAGACACTCTTGTAGGTGTTGGGGATACCTCAGTGAACAAAATAGACAAAAATCTTTGTCCTGGAAATACGCACACTCCAGTAAGGGGAGAGGGACAATAAGCCAAAGGAAGGAAATTACAGAGCGTGCTAGAAGGTGATAAGTGCTGTAGAAAGTAAGTAAAATGGGTTTGGGAGTTGAGAGTTTGGGAAGGGGATAAATGATGGCAATTTTAAATAGAGTAGTCAGAGTTCTCACTTAGAAGGTGAAATTCGAGTAAAGACTTGAAGGAGGACAGTGAATTAGCCACATGGATGGCTGGAGGAAGGCTTCCAAGCTGAGGGGACAGCCAGAGCCAAGGCCCAGAGGCAGGAGCATGCCTGGTAGTTTTAGGAAACAGGAGGCCAGGATGCTGAGTGGAGTAATAGGGGGCATGAAAGGAGAAACTTGGGTCCACGTGGTTCTAGACAGATATTTTTGTCTGTTTTGGGCCCTGAAGTTTACTGCTGGACTTGGACTCTTATTCTGAGGAAATAGGGATGTTATTGGGACGTTCGTACAGGAGCGATGTGACTTGAGTTTTGTTTGTAAAGGATTAGACTCTGGCTGTGGCATAAGGCTAGGCTGTGGGGGCAGGAACAGAAGCAGGGGGACCAATTTTGCGGCCTGTGCAGCTTTCTAGGTGAGCAGGGATTGTGGGTTGGAGGAGGATGGTATAGAGGAGGTGACAGGAAGTGGCAGGGCTCTCTAGCTGTGTGTCTGGTATGTAGACACTGGCCACAGATGGCATTTGAGCACTAGAAACCCGGCTGGTCCACATGGAATTTCCATAAGCACATAATACACACCAGATTTCAAAGACTTAATATGAAAGAAAGAATGAAAAATACCTTGCTATTTCTTTTATTTTCTTTTTCTTTTTTTCTTTTTTTTTTTTTTTTTAGACCCAGGCTGGAGTGCAATGGTGGGATCTCAGCTCACTGCAACCTCCACCTCCTGGGTTCCAGCAATTCTCCTGCTTCAGCCTCCCAAGTAGCTGGGATTGCAGGCACCCACCATCATACCCGGCTAATTTTTGTATTTTCAGTAGAGATGGGGTTTCACCATGTTGACCAGGTTGGTCTGGAACTCCTGACCTCAGGTGATCCACGCACCTCAGCCTCCCAAAGTGCTGGGATTACAGTCGTGAGCCATGCGCCCAGCAAAAATATTCTTTCTAAGTTTACCTTTCTCTTTCATCATATTGAATATAAGCATATTCATAATAATTGGTAAACTGATGTGCATTATATTTACTATTATAACTATAAATAAATTGGTGTCAATCAATTGTAAGTGACTATTCTAAATGAAACTCAATATCTACACCAGGTCACAGAGCCATGAGGTCATGGTCAAAGTCCCCTTTGGTAGTGGTCCACAGTCAGAATCCCAATCATTCTGTCCATCTCCTCTACCCAGCGCATATTTAGAGCTGTTGGACCGAAAGGGAGGCCATGGCAGGGAGCTCATGGCCTTACAATGCATCCAACTCCAGGCTGAACAGCTCCTGGTATTAGAAGGCCATCTTGACTCTGAGCTTCCATCTACCATCCTTTGACTTCCAGCCATGAACGTAGAGCTTCCATCTGGAGCAACACATAAAATCAATCCCCCTCCATATGAGGAGAACTACCATGTTCCCCCATCATTATCCTTTTCCAAATTAAATACATTACATTGCATTAATTCCTCCTTATAAAACACGACATCCTGACTCCTTCGCCATCCTGGTGAAACTTCTCTGGGTACAAACTTCTCTGCATCTTCCCAGATGGATATACTATTCCAAACATGCTCTAAACTATTCCGTGTACAATGGAATTCACTCCTCTTACGAACGAATATTACCTATATAATTGTAACATAAATTTGCATGCATTTTATTGTTTGCTTGTTTGTTTTGAGAAAAGGTGCTTGTTTTGGAATCGTTATCTCATTCCAGGCTTATGCTGAGCTTGGTGCCTTATAGTTGGAATTATCACGATTATATAAAAAAATTTGTCTTTAAAATGTTCAGAAACTATCTTAACGTTTTTACTTAAATTCAGCATTCTTACATTCCTCAAGGTCAAAGAGGAAAGAACTACATATGTCTTAATACTAAGTATTTTCAGAAATGATGCCACAAATCTCTACAAAGAGTAAGGGACTTCTGAAAAATGCTGTGTGGTCGAAGTAAAGA